CCCTCTATCGGAGGTGCTAAGTCCTTTGGCTGAGTGCCGTACCGTGTCGACCACCGCGTCAGGCCGGCACAGCACGGGGCACTTAGATCGGATAGTATTAGTTTGGCCAACCAGATTTGGAGAAGACTGTTTGTCCATAGTTTATTTTGTTTTTTGTTTGTGATAAGCTCAGCCCGCACCGCGACAACTGAGGCAACATATACGGCTTTTTAAACAAATACATTTTTAAATAGGTCTGAATGTAGAAGGGACAATTTCTTCCCTACAAAGGTGCCCTTATACTCAGCGCGGTCGTTGTTTACACTGAGGTTTAACTTGTTTTTAGAAATGGTTTTTACCATCAAGCGTTAGAAATTGTGTCCAAAATGCGTGCCTATCTACCAGTAGGCAATTTGGTTCGGAGGAGATGAAAGGGGGAAGATGGTCGTGCCTCCTCCCGATTCGAGCCAATGCCCCATCGCAAAATTAGGGCAGATTCACTTATTTGTGGGTGCGAAACAATAGTAACTCGTCACCGGACCGTTTTCTTCTCTTTTGTTCCGGAGGTAAAGTGAGGGGTTTTCTCCGCTCGCTCGCCGCCTCCTCCATCGAACAAATACATAAGAGGGAGCTTCCCCTGTTCGACCGCCGCGCCGCCACAGATTGGGACGCTAAACTCCCACAAACACTCGCAATAATGGTAGATGACGAAGCAGCGGTCCGACGCGGCCGGCGCCGCTCCAGCCCGCCCGGCCCGCCTGTGCCGAACTGGGCCTCACCTCTCGCGGGCCCGCCTCGCCCCGCGCCCCGCCCCGCCTCGAGGATAATCCAAATTGAACCTCGATCGCCTCGTTAAAATGTCGATCTAAAGCTGCGGTGCTCGCGGTCCAGACCGTGCCGATCCAGGGAGGGGGAAATCCACCTGCAACTGGCTCGCCGCGCCGCTGGAGTTGCGTGGCTCTTCTCTCTGCCGCCGCTGCGGCTCTGGGCCCGGGCCCGGCCCCGCGCCCCACTGTGACGCGGCCGAAGTGCCGCTGATGACGTCCACGAGGTGGGCTGGACCGCCGCCGCTGCAGCCGCCCCTGACCGGCTGGGGAATTTGAAAGGGTACCCACTGTGACTGCGGGATGCTCCACCTCCTCCCCCTCCACTCCCTTCTCTCTATATATTTCTCTCTCTCTCTCTCTCTCTCTCTCTCTCTCTCTCACTCATAGACCCTGGGCAAACAAACGCGCTGCGGTGTGTCCGATCTGTCAAGAGGCCGGTTATTGGTTCCCTGGAAGGCCGGCATAAAAGACGGCCGAGGGGTCGTTGCAGGGCGCGAAGAGCAAGGGCTTTGACCTGGGCACCCCGGTGTAGTGTGTGGAGGTAATGGCCAGAAAAAGGGTTTTTAGACGGTGCAGCGTTTTGAAAATTTTACCGAAATTTACCTCTCGGAAATTATCAACAAAAAAAAATTTCAGATTGTTTAACAAATCAAACAAAACCCACTGCCGCAAGAACCTTGGCTCGCCTTTCTTGTCCGTCACTGCAGCGTATCAATGCCAAAACACGTCCTGGCGCACTACTACTGGTTCCTTCTAGTTTCTGTAGTGCAACCACCAATCTGCTCTGTAAGCAGCGCGCGTTGGCCTGGACCCCGGCGTGGACTGATAGTGCAGCGCGGCCGGCGCGGCGTGGGGCGAGGCGAGCGGCCGAGGGCCTCTGCTCCGCTCTGCTCTGCTCGATAACGGATGGGTACAGACTTCCTTATTGAGCTCACTTTTATCGACACCCCAGCGCCACTCTGTGTTTCTCATCCTCCTCTCCGGCCGAGCCTGGGCCTCGGCCTGCGCCCGGCCCGGCTCTGATCCTCGCGCCTGCATTAGCCTCCCCCGCCGGGGCCCCCGACCCGGCTGCCCCGGCCGCCCCGGCCGCCCTGCAGAAAGGCGTGATTCAGATAAACTGAAGAGTAGAGGATGGCCGGTCGGTAGGGCAGAGATTCGAGGTGACGGCAGCTGCCAACAAAAAATTTCCTACACACTTAGAGCATCTCGCCTCTATGGCGCAGTCGGTAGAGCACCCGCCCAGAGTGGGAGGTCGGCGGTTCGACTCCAGGCTTGACAAGATTTTTCCCTTTTCCATGTGGCGCGTTGGTGTACGGCCTCGGGCCGACCTGAAGTTGAAGTAGAATCGGAACACGGCTCACCTCCGTTGGCTTGGTAGCTTTGGTGGCGCAGGGTCGCTGATACTGACGGTTGGGTTCGGCAATCGGCACTCGGGGTTGTGGGTTCGATACCCGCGTACCCCTCAAGACGGAAAAAGATAACAGTCCCCTCGGAGGTAAGGTCTCGGAATCTGGGTTTCAGTCTTGCTCACCTTGCGACACCTGTAAGTCCAACAACCGAGAGTATGTTCTGAGCACTGGGGTTTGAAGCGGCTGATCCCAGTCATAGAACTCAGAAAGTTGCCGCCAACTGCAAACTGCATACTCCCGACTCCCCCATTTTTTATTTTATTTTATTTTTTGGACGGGTGGGGGGAGTTGGGCTTGAGCATTTACGGCGCCGAGCGGACTTTTGACTGTTCTGTGATGTAGGGCTGCACACTCCGTCATAGTCGCGGTCTTTCCCTCACTACACTTAAAGTATCCCTTTATGGCCTCTGAAGCCTGTTCGTCTTTGAAGCACATTTTTCCCAAATTTCAGCATATCGACGAGGTCGGGAGAAATTTAGGTCGGACAATCTAAATACACCAACGTTCGCCTCCGATATCTCACTGTAAATGTGGGTTGACCAAGGCGCGACTTCACAGTCGCCTTTGCTGGGTACCTTCCTCTCTTTCGAAGTTACTGACCCACATCCTTATTTCTTGGGATGCCAGTGAATTTTCCTTCGCGCATGCATCGGTCATACACAATGTCGCATTGACACCCCCGAATGTGCCCAGCCACCAGGTACTGTGAGTGCCTGGAATGCCCGCGGGGGAGGTGACTTGCGTTAGCTGATAATATGCACCCCAGATTTACAATACACTTCGTAAAGACAGGATACTAACTCTCATCACACTAGTCAGAAAAAGTTTAAATTAATGTTTTTGCAGCTAAAGAAAGCAACTACGAAAAAGAGCGCGGCATGCTCCGACACGATAGTCCAGGGGAGTATTGTACAGCCTTTCGATCAGCCGGGCCGCGTTAGGCTGGACTCGGCTGGGCCTGAACCCCACCCATCCGCATCATTTTAAAGCAGCATCGAGCTTAATTGTGAGGTTACAAATCTTGATTGGTAGGTGTTTATGCGGTGAAAGGAATTGTGTAGTGTGAGAGAGGGTGAGAGAGAGAGAGAGAGAGAGAGAGAGAGAGAGAGAGAGACGGAAGGGGAGAGGGAGAGGCGGCGGCGGTGGTGGTAGTGATCATTTCGATAGGATCTCGAGCACGCGGTCTGGGAGGTGTGAGTCTGACTCGGTGCGGTGCGCGGCCCCTCTGCGCTGCTCGGGTGGCTCACCGCCCCGCCTGCCCGCCCTGCCCGCCTTGCCCGCTATACACCCGTTCTGTATACCAGATTCTTTTAATTTTTATTTCGAAACAATATTTCAACATTGCGGAAATATTCAAAAAGTTGGGAATTCACATTTCGACCTATCTGTTTTAGTATCACGGGTGGGTAATCAGTTGTCATTAAAATTTCTGGGATTCTATTATTAATGCATGGACTCGTTTGTGCGAGCAAGTAATAAGACGAACAATGAACTTTCGAGTGTGTCCTTCCCTCTTTATTGTGATTTGCGAGGAGCTTACAGAAGTGATGGATAAAATGGAGTAATAATATAACAAGAATAAAACTACGGCGCGCGCGCTCACGGACTTGCGATAAAGCAAACTCTGTCAGCGAAAGCGACATGATAACGAATGGCTTGTTCGGTATTCGTATATATTCACTTTGTCCTTGTCTGATCGCTAAAGTGATCCTCGCGCGGCCGCGCCATATTCTATTTCATCTGCTAGCATAACCTCTTTGCCATAACGTACTCATCCCCCCCCTCTCTCTCTCGTTCTTTTTCTTCGCCCCCCCCCCCTCTTCCTCTCTTCCCTTCCCTTGCCCGCCCCCTCCTTCACCCCTCGGTGTGTCCACTGCAGGTGCGATAGCGTCAGATTTCACATCCACACACAAAGGTGTGCGGACAAAGTCAAAACAATACATATATAGATACACCCTCCTAACCTCATCTCTACCTCGGGGTGCGGAATGATTGTGGAGCCATTACGGGAACTTATTTTTATTTTTTTGCTTATTTCGAGTTCCGATCATTCCGACATCACTCCCCAGGCGGACGAGAAGATCACTCGTGGGCGGCGGTGGCGGCAGGAGGACATACCGATGTAATGTATCAGGAACAATAGACGAACGGATTACGTAAATTATGCAAATGTGATCGAGTGCAGCAGCCTGCAGTCCCCCGCGCAGTCCCCCGCGGCTAGGCTGCACGGGCCGAGGAGTCACCTCCGCTGTCTGCCGTACACAGTCCACTGTCCCGCGTCCCGTGTCGAACGACGTTCGCAGCGAGGACGAGGCAGCAAAGCAGCATTGCCAGAAAGGCAATTCTTTGATTTTTATGATATTTGAAAATTGTTTCGTTTGTAGTTTTCCATGCGAGCAGCACAGAGGGAGGTGTGTAGGCCCG